AGGATCAATTTTACAGACAGGCGTTTAGCTTCTTTCACTTACCTTAACCTAGCTAGCTAATTGCTTATAATCAGCTAACTAGCAAGCATCATTTAAAAAAAAATACTTGGCTAGTTTGTGAGCTAGCTAAACTGATGCCAGACTCAATTGTCATTGTTTGAACTATAGCTACAAGTTCAACTTCTCTCCTTTGTGCTGTTACTTTTTTGCTCGTTTTACAAAACTGAGTAAATTAGCTAGCTAATTAGCAAATTTAAGGATAATGCATGAGTAAAGATTTTTTTTTTATTCACGTTTTTATTACGGAACAACATAGAAAATATACATCTCATCCATTCACATAAGATGATATTGACCTGTACAATCATCCATTCAGTTTGGTATATTAATCAATACAGTTAACCCCTTCTTGTGATTGTCTCATCTCCAGTATTAATTTAGTAATTTAATATTCCAACAAATGCTCTGCTTGGATCTTCTGTATTTGTTTTGTCATGAGTAAAGATTTGAGCCATTTTACCTCCAGTTTTTCTGACCTGACATGCTTCATGAAACTCACACAAAGCAGAAATCATTACTTTTTCAACTAATTTAATATCTAGTCAGATGGCTTGCAATTGGATGAGGACAATATTTTATTATTTTTTTAATTGTGCATATTTCAACCAACTATTTGTATGTTCACATTGAATTTTTGTTTATGATGTTAACTATAATAATTGAAATTTTGGAAGCAACTATTGGATCTGCACATACTCCACATACTTGGGGAACAAGTTCCTTATTTTGCAAGGAAAGCATTTGATTTCTTTCTCTATTATTTTAGTGAATTGCATAAAACCCCCCAAAAAAAAACACAACTCAGGCTTTAAGTGAAGACTTTCTAGCCTCTTGTTATGCTAAAAGTTGAACTTCTACTCATGCCCTGTGTCGTATGAGCGGCAGAAAATGATTCACCATGAAACAAGATACAGAAACAAGCAGGGAGTGGAACTTACTGAGCGCCGGCCGGTTCCGCTCCGCTCAGCAGCTCTGCAGCTCCCAGACTCTCTGGAGGAGTGTTTGGGTTGGGAAGACAGCATGATGATGATGTGGACTCTCCGTTCATGGCAGCTGAAAACATGCTGTTGTAAATCCCCCTGGAAGTGCCGCAGCCGGTGGTGGTGGGGGTGGGGTGAGCCACACGCAAACACACTTTAACCCACTATCTGTGCTGCCAAGGCTGGAAGTCTGCAGCAACACCCAGTAAAACTTGTAAACAGAAAGGTGGGGAGGTGTGGAGGGGAGGAGAGGTTCCTGGTTACATCAGCAGCAGCTGCTGACAGGCCTGTGTTTATTCGCCAACTGCCAGGACCTGAGAGGCGCTGCACATGCCTGCAGCGCTCAAGACGAGCCTCATCCAGCTGACTGACACACTCTGAGCTCCTAAACAATCGAACACCGAGGGGTCTCCTCTAAAACTCTTGTTCAGAATGTCCTAGTCAGAAGTTTCAGGTTAGCTTCATCCTAGCTGTCATCTCAGGGAGAGCTGCTGACTGGACCAAAGAGCTGCTGCTCCTCAAGCTGACATTCCTGCAGCGTCTGGGGCTTGGCACATCCTCCTGCCTCCTAGCTCAGCCTACTCTTCCTCCAAAGCTCTGGCTCTGCTTCCTTTAAACGCAGGCACATGACTCTCAGCTTCACTGCCGGGCTGAATTCTCTTTGGAGCCACCAGCAACTCTGATTTTCATTAGCCTCTCTGTAGGGACCCCCACACTGCCGTCCACCCAGGAAGAAAGGGACCAAACCCCATCTTGGAGTTAGCTTCAGTCCTTCATTAACTATTCCTGCCAACATGTCTGCTATCAATTTCTAGAAGGAAAAAAAACGCGTCCATTTGTCTTCAGAATCTTAATCACCAAGTTGCCTAAATATTTGTGCAATTAAATTGCTGATGTCTCTGCATTCATTGGATGCATAACATGATGATTCAAGGCAATGTCATAATGAGACTCGATGCTAATTGTGCGTTTCTGTTGTCGCCCATCTCCACCCTGTTTTCACTCACACGCTAACTACTTGCAACACGCTAAGTGGAGACCAAGTGACCTCCACTTGATCTCAGCCACTAAATGTTTTGGTAGCTGAGGTAGAGGGAGACCTCCATCTCAAAATAGGAGGTCTTCACTACAATAAATCCTGGTTAAAAATCTGAAAACCCCTTCAATAGAACCTGTCTGACAACACGAAGCAGGCTAAAGACCTCATCAGCTGAACTGATGAGAGGAAAGTCTTTCAGAGTGGCTTACAGAACCATTCTTGAGGTTTTGGATATGAAAGTGCTTGAGATGTTGTAGCATTAACCCAAACAGGCCGGTCATGTTTAGAAACCCTCCAATATGGCTGACATAAAGCCATTCTGCAAAGAAGAGAGGGCCACCTTGACCGTTGGGTGCTGCTTGAATTCTTAAAAATTGTCATAAAAAAACAAAAACAAAAACAAAGAAATCTATAAGGGGCCGTATAATTTTTGTGACACTCATGCATTCCTCCTTATGTCTGCAGATGACATCCTGTCTCTTGTGTTTTTGTTGGAGTGAAGCTGAGAATCTGCCACAGGATCCAACAGACAAAGAAAGCCACGGGCTCGTCACCAGGGTTCGGCTGAACGTGAATGTCAGCAGCTAATTGGATAAAAACAGCGCTGGGATCAAACATTCAGAGGTAAAAGGGTAATGGATGATGAGACGGCCTAGGATTTGTCTCTCACTCTCAGTTCTTTGATTGTGAGATTGGAGATTTGCGATTTGTGAGCTTAATCTAATAGACGGGATGGGAAAAGACTCGAATTTAATCTAAGAATGCATGACCTTTAATTGACTCAATAAATGGCGCCGATATCTTCCATATGGGAACCACAGGGACCGTCGCTTTAAAGGTCCTGGCGTGGTTTGCTACCTTTGAAGAGCAGGACAATAATCCACATGTTGTGAGCATACGCTCCTCTTATCAGAAACATTGTTTAGATTATAAGTAAACTACACGCTGGTTTCAATTATCTCCCCTCCATTTACGCTCACCCGCTCCAGACAACGAGATTTCTACCATCCTTGCGTCGCAATCTAGCCGCAGACGCAAGTTCCTTATTGTGGGTGAACTGCGTTTGATGCCAGTATGGCAGAAAGGCTAACGGTCCAGAACAAGCGTCTTGACCCGGACCTATCTGTCCAACAGCCTCTGAGAGGTCAGAACCCAGCAGCAAAGGTTCAACCTAAATTATACCATAATCACCTCCTTATTAGGTCTAACTATCAAAATTTAAACATTTTTTTTGTGTACTTTGATTCTGTAGGAGAGCAGAAAACTCAAACTTTGATCATGAAAGCACCAGGTGCTCCCAGAGGTCCAGATGTGTAGCGGCTCTGTCAGCACAGAACATGATTTGACATATATGGAGAAAACATCAAATCTTCAGATATAAACTGCTCCGTGATCAAAGTGGCCCCAATGCTAATTTGCATAACAAACATGTCAAAACCACAAGACAGAAACGGCTGCAGAGGCGTACGCTTTGGATTTCCCTGGAGGATCAGTGCAGGAAGTGGCTCTGCTCCTCCATCACCGTGTTATTTGCAGGTACTGGTGCTGGTTCTTTGCCTCAGAGCACGCAGGAAGTGGCTCCATAGGAGCGGGGGACCCGAGAGAGGCGTGGAAGCGTCGCGCGAGGACGATCTCAGCTTCCGCAAATCAGAGAGACGCTGATGTCAGCGACTCGGAGAGACGGAGCGGAGGAGATCCAGACGGAGCAGGCGCTATCCGACTCGGACCACATCAGCTCTTAGACATGTCAGGAATGTTTTACACCCAGGACATAAATTAGGTTTGGTTTTTTTTTCAGCTACTATTCTCATTGGAGAACTTGCCGGGTTTTATGAAAACTCAACATTATAACACGCTCAAACACATCGGGTTGGTTTCAGAGAGGCTTTTATCCGCATGAGCCCACACCGATTCGACCCTGAACGTTGACATGCCAAACCCATAGGGGGCAGTGTAGTGCTCAGCTAAAACCTGTTAGCTACTCCGCCCGCTTCAAAACAACTGCCACTTCCTGTTAGGAGTCAAACATGGCGCTACAAGGTTTATTTGTGCGTACTAGAGCCATTTTAGGTAGGCAAAAAAAAGAAGTACGTTTTCACTAAAAAAACCTCTGAAATTTTGACCTTAAGCTGAGAAAGTGTTTTAAAAATTTTCAACTCTACAAACTCAAAAAATGTTAACTTGTTTTTCTTTTTTTAGAAAATACATAAAATTTCCTTCTTATAAATTTTAGACTTTTGGAGCTCAGAAATTTCCAGTTTGTCTTTTGAGAAAATTTCTGAAATTAGTCCAAAAATGCCTACATTTTTGGACAGAGACGTACTTCTTTTTTTCCCTTGAGTACAAAGGCCCTAATGAAAATGTATCCGTTTTCCCCAGATATTATGTTGACTCTGACTTCCAATTTCACCATTTTAAAGTGGAAAAGATCACAGTGAATGGTGGATGTTTTTGTCAAGACTATTTACTGCTGATTTTCCAAACCGTATCCTGACTCCTTGTTGTTCTGCGCAGATTTTGTGACTCCATGCAGCCTCGCAGTTTCGGAAACGCGAAGGTGTGAAGGCGTGTTGTCCTGACCCGCGCCGGCTCAGATCTTTGAATAATCGTCAGGCCTCTCGGTTTCTCCGGGGATTCGCAGCCGAGACGTTTATCCGCGGAGACACAGGTGTGAGAAGCCGACTGTGAATAAAGCCTGGCTCACAAATCCCATCTGGACCCAACGTAGGATGTGCTAAACGGGGTCTTGAGTGGCAGATCATCCGCGAGAAAGAGGAAACGTCAGAATTTTGGGAGTTTTCAACATGGCTAACTTTTAGAGAACAAATCGTTGAATTTGGGGCCAACAACGCGGGAGGGGAGCACATCCCCATCCAAAAGGCCTCCCTGTTCTGCGTGTGTGTGTCCAACAGGCAGGTTACCGTGGTGATTAAGCTCCTCTTTCAAGCCCGGTCCCGTCTGAAGGTGGACGCCGTCTTTGAAACAGAAGCCAGTCGGCCGCCTCCGGCCCGCCCGATGACAGCTCCCGTTCGGATGAGGGGAGCCGTGGTATTACAGAGGAGCCCGCGGAACCCGGCTCTCTCCCCCGTGGGAACCCGGGCCGTCCCGGTGCATTGTGGGTCGCCGTGGAGGCCCGTCACTCTGCACACAGTCACAGAGAGGGGAGACAGTTAGCCAGCGGTGAGAAAAACAGGGATCTGCCTCAATGGAAGACAATGAAGGGTTGACCCACTGCAGGGGTCAACCCTTCATATTTAGTCAATACAGACTAAATATGTCCTCTTTTAAGAGTGAAACAGATTTGAATCAGCTATAAAGCTCCTCCTCACTTAAAACTTACCAGAATTATTAGAATTATATCTGATTTTCATCAGAACGTGATAGTTTCTTGTATTAAAAGTTCCTCCCTCTCCAGAATGCGGGAGGTCTCACGTCAACTGTGACGTCATCGCGCAATATTCGTCCACCGGAACGAGATGTTACTTTGACCCCAAGAGTGGGATTTTGGTTTTAAAGCGAACTCTCAACTTCAAGGAGAACGTCAGCTAAATTAAAAGCGACATTGCTATTACTCTGTTATCATGAGGCTTTATTTATGCTAACAGCTGATGAATGACGCTCACTTTAAAGCCCGCGGTTTCCTTCGTTCCCTTTCCTTTTCGCAGAGTCTCCTGTTCTTTGTGAATTGTTACATACAAGTATTTTCGATACATTTTTTGGGGGGGGTCGGGGGGGTTCCCCGAATTAGCTTCAACTTCTGGCCGGATCAAAACACAGCCACGCTGCGCTTTCTACTTCGACGTTTTTTGTACGTCGGTCCGGGTGAGTGGGGAGAGCGGCGCCATCTAGTGTTTGTAAGTGCACACTGCAGGCTGATTTGCCAATGAAGGAAGTTGCTGTGCTGTTTTGAATGAAAAATAAGTGGATTTTTCACTCAAAAGTGTGAAAAATACACTTTTGAGTGAAAATACATGGATCTGCCAGTATAATGTGGTAACACGGATTTCTGACATGCACGATGTAGATTCGAATAAGTGTGATTTTCCTGCCACAAAAGCTTAAAAGCCATTATGTTTTCCGCACAAAGACACACAGCTTCTCTGAAATCAGTTTTTTAATAAGTCAGACACTTCAGATGGAAATAAAAAAAAAAAAAACACCCGTTGTCGGTTTTCTGGGATCAGTGATGTACACGGTGTAGTGATGTATAAAAGTAAAAAAGTGAAGACACTTCTGGCGCTCTGACTTATAAATGGTAAATTTGGACCCATTAAAACATGAAAAAAAAGTTTGTATTAATTGTTGTTCCCACAAAGTGTAACAGCAAAAATAACAATTAGAAAAAAAAACACAAATACACACTGCATGCTGCAGTTAAACACCCCCTGCATGCCAGGTTGTCTACTATGTTGTGCGCTTGTCTTGTGGGTCTCTGCCACCCTCTAGTGGTGGGTAGTCGAGGTTCCAGCTAGTTGGAGGCTACATATGCTGGGGATGGTTCTGCAGACAGGTGATGAACTCCTTCACCTGCTTCCCTTCATAGCAAATCTGGTAGACGGCAACAAACAAAGGAAACCTGTTGGACGCAAACATTTTACAGCATTAGTGATAGAAAACACAAAGCTTGCGTTGTGAAAACAGGCGGGGGAAACAAAATAAGCTTCATAACAGGTTTTCATATAATGTGGCTAACAGTTTCTACTGTATCATCCCCCAAGTTTTAAAAAAGCCTTTTTGGAAATTTTGGACCCTTTTTACAGAAATCCATTTGTGAGGTCAGACAGTGATGTTGGACAAGAAGACCAAACAGTGGGCATGTAATTTTAATACCACATATGTAAAAACCTTGGTATTAGAGCTACAGTATGTAGTGGGGAACTTACTTCTCGACCATGCCTTGCTTTTGGAGGATCTTGTAGACCTCAGCTGAGGTCTGTGGACCCTGCAGCTTCTGGCCGTTCAGCATCTCGGCCTCCAGGTCAGCGATGGACTGCACAGAGAAACACGAGGTTCCATGATGCCGAGCAGCTAAGTCATTTCAATCCCATGAAGTGAGGAAGCGTTGCACTTCCTGTGTCTGACTCACTTTGGAGGTTTTGACGAAGGCCTCGGCGATGCGGCGGTTCCGCCCGCCGTAGCAGGTGGTGATGAGGTCTGCCACACCGCAGCTCTCCAGGAAGGTGTCAGAGCTCACGTTGCCCTTGCAGAACATCTTGGCGAACGCCACCATCTCCATCAGGCCCAGCCGGATCACCGCCGCCTTGGTGTTGTCGCCGAACCCGAGTCCGTCGCAGAAGCCGGCGCCCACCGCCACGATGTTCTGGGAAGGGGATAGAGAAGGTCAGAGAACAGCTGGTCAAGTGAAGTGGAAACAGGCGGAAGTTAGCTATGCGCTGACGCGTGTGTGTACCTTTAAGGCACCACACAGCTCCACCGTGTCGCTCTCAGGAACCACGGTAATGCGGAAGTTGGGCGTCTGCAGCAGTTCCTTGAGCAGCTGGCCCTGCGCCTTGTTCTTCGCCCCTTCATGGAAGCGGAAACATGAGTCAGACTCTGAAACTGGAAGTCATGCTGTGGGCCACTGACGCCAGCACTTTCCCCATTTAAACCAGAACGAGAGCTGACCAATGGTGGTTTCGCAGAACTTTTCGTCGGCCACCTCGTTGGCAATGTTGGCCCCCATCAGCACGCTGACGTCGATCTGCAGCTTCTCCCTGATGATGTCGGAGATGAGCTTCAGGCCGTCTGGACCCTCGTCGACTCCCTGTGGAGCAGCACAGCGTTCAGCAGCGCAGCACAGCGTTCAGCAGCCACTTCCTCCAACACAACCCCACCTTGATGAGGGAAATTCCGATGGCTCCCTCCGTCACGTGAGGCTTCATCTCATCGCAGAGTTTAGTGATAAACTGGTGAGGGATGACGAAGACCAGGATGCTGGCTCCCTTCACGGCGTCGGTGACGTTGGGAACAGCCACCTGGAAACACGCCGACCTCCGTCACTGGACAGCACATCACTCAGACCTACGTCGCAAAAGGGTAGACCAGGCTGTGGCCAAACCCAAAACTCACCACGAGACACAACACTGACCTCAGGAGAACGAGGCGGGATTTTAGCATAGGGTCAAATTTATGCCTTATTCTGCATTTTTATAGATTTTGCAACGAACTGACTTTTCATTTTTATTTCCGCGATGAAACCATAACTACACATTTGCTACAGATCAAGCATTCATTCCAGAAAGGCGCTTCATGAAATTTAGGCAAAATGTTTATTTTCTCATTTGACAAAGAAACAACTTGTTCATGTGCATCTTTCAATGTATTTCTAATATTGTGTAAAAAAGCCTCAATGAAAAAGCTGCACAATTGCACATGTTTTTGTTGTTTTTTTATTCTGATTACCCAATTAATCATCAGACTAAGCAATTAGTAAAATAAACATTAACTGCAGCCTTACAGCCAATCAGAGCCAAGGAACATGAATCGCATGGATGCTATGCAAAAATCCTGATCTGGGACTAGTCAGGGGTTCCCTGTACCTGGTTACAAGTACAGTACAAAAGCATACGGATTAATTAATAAGTGTGCAACACTTAGCAACTTGCACCTTTCCTGAGTTACAGTCAAGGCAAACGGTCAGACCTGCTTTGCCCTGAAACGTTGAGGTTGGACGCCTGTCCTGTTACTAGGTATGTATGGGATGGAAGTTGAATAACTTGGAGAAATGAATGATCTTTAAAAAAAATAATTCCATCTATGGATGGCAAAACAGTCCCAGAGCATGATGGCGCCACTACAAACAGGCCAGAAGGCCAAACTTTGATCTTTCCCAGTGAGTGCCGCTCCGCTTCCCAGAACCAAGACGGATAAACTCTTTCCAGGGACATTCCTGCTCCTGTAGGGGCAGGACTGTGGAGGATCTATTCTTGGAAACGCCAACACCCTACCACGTTCTTGGGCAGCTTGTGTCCCGGCAGGTATTTGACGTTTTCGTGCTCGCTGTTGATGATCTCGGTGAGCTTCCTGTCGCCGATCATCTCCTCGTAGACCCACATGCTCACCATGGGGTTGAAGCGGTTGGACGCCTTCACGTTGTGGCCGATGATCTTGGCGATGGAGGATCCCCTGGAGGAAGAGCCACAAGTTCAGGATGGAGGCCTCCAGCCAATCACAGCACATTATTTAATAAAGGGTGACAGGTTGTACACCAACCTGGTGACAGGTTGCACATTTAAAAGAAGAGGACATTTAAAAGTAGAGATCATCAAATTGCATTAACCCAACAGGTTTGAATCGAAAATCATGAACATAAAGTCACCAGTTTCCAGATCCAATGATGCAGACTTTCTTAGCAGGCATGTTGAAGCTGGATAAACTCTTTGCCAGACTGAAGAACGCGTCGTTCTCCACTCGCCAGCAAAACTTCCTGATCCTCCCCGTTGTTGCTAAAAGACGCCAGCTCCACCCTGAGCTCGCCACGGTTCCGCCCCCACCCCCGCCCCGTTTCCTCCCGTGGAATTTCAGCAACCCTTTCAGTGTTCCGTGGAGCACGAACCTGCTAATCTCAAAGGATTTCCACAAACTTCCTTATTTCGGCTCCACATAAAAGGTCTAAATGGCTTTCAACGACGATAATAATGCAGCCGAACACGGGGATGGGTGCATAAAAAATAAACTACGCCAGCATCGAAGCTGCAATGACGCTTTAAAGGGCGCCGATTGATAAATAGCCGCTAAATGACTGGGAGACCGCTAATCATAAGGTCGACCAGGGAGCAGAACGCTGAATGGTTAGTCTTCCGTTTTGGTTGGCTTTCAAAATAATGGTGGAAATGTTTTTAAGACTGCGAGAATAAAAAGTCTAATATTAAGGAAAAAATTGCTGTTGCTTTATATTTAAAAAACAAAACAAAAAACTACTTAATTTTTGCAATATAACTTTTGGCTTTTTTACAAAAAACCCATTGTATTTTGTGACATTAGCAGCGGGGTTTTGGTCGTTCCTTTTTCTGATGTGTATTTCTTTAAATCGAAACCGGAAATGCGCTCCTGTCAAACAGTCACGTGACAATCGCGTTTCTGCCGAGGCAGTAAATAGCAGCAGCTAGCGGAGGCTGTTGACCCAGCGACACCGTTTCATGATGTTTCCCCAGCCGTAGTCCGCTCGCTGACCGAAGCGGGGCTCCGAGCCGGTTTCCCCAGAGGCGGGTGACGACTTTTCCTGTAGTGGGGAGACATCAGAACCCGGAAGCTCGAGCCGGGTGACCAAATCTCCGCTTAGCATCAGAAGTTTTAGCCTCCGCCGCCGCAGGAGGCGCAGGGCTGACGGAGGCGAGAGCTCTGCCTTGTGACCATGCAGGGGGAAACTGCGGCGGTTCGGGTCGCGGAGGGCGAGGGGAAAGTGGAGGCATTTCCCCCGAACAGAACGCCCAGTTCGGGGAGAGCGGGCGGAAAGA